GACCTGCTGGCCACACTCTTCTGGATGCACCCCAGGATGCCATTGGCCTTCTTGGCCGCCAGGGCACATTGCTGGCTCACGGTCATCCTGTTGTCCACCAGGACTCCCAGGTCCCTTTCCACACAGCTGCTCTCCAGCAGGTCAGCCCCTAACCTGTACTGATGCATGGGGTTATTCCTCCCCAGGTGCAGTACCCTACACTTGCCCTTGTTGAATTTCATTAGGTTCCTCTCCGCCCAACTCTCCAGCCTGTCCAGGTCACGCTGCATGGCGGCACAGCCTTCCGGCGTGTCAGCCAGCCCTCCCAGTTTTGTGTCATCAGCAAACTTGCTGATGGTACGCTCTATCCCTTCATCCAGGTCACTGATGAATATATTGAACAGGACTGGACCCAGTACTAACCCCTGAGGGACACCACTTGTTACTGACCTCCAACTAGACTCTGCACCACTAACCACAACCCTCTGAGCTCTATCTGCCAGCCACCGTTCAATCCACCCCACTGTCCGTTCATCTAACCCACACTTCCTAAGCTTGCCCGTGAGGATGATGTGGGAGACGGTGTCAAAAGCCTTGCTTACTTAATTGTTCTCTAACTTGTTCCTCTTCAACCAAGGGAACGTCTTCCTTCCTCCAGACTTTCTCTGTTACCCGCAAAGTCTGGGACTCCCGAGGGCTGGCCCGAGCAGTGAAGACAGAAGCAAAGAAGGCATTCAGCAACTCCGCCTTCTCTGCATCGTCTGTCACCACGGCACCTGTCTCGTTCAACAGTGGGCCCACATTTTCCCTAGGTTTCCTTTTGCCTCCTATATACTTAAAGAAACCCTTCCTGTTGGCCTTGACATCCCTCACCAGGTTCAATTCCAAGGCTGCCTTGGCTTTCCTCGTTTCATCCCTGCATACCCTGACAGCATTCTTATACTCGTCCCAAGCGGTCAGCCCCTTCTTCCACATACTGTAAACTTCCTTCTTCCACCTGAGCTTCTTCAGAAGCTCCCTTCTCAGCCATGCAGGCCTCCTGCTTCCCTTGACTGATTTCTTGCTCTTAGGGATGCACCGATCCTGAGCTTGGAGGAAGTGATGCTTAAATATCAGCCAGCTCTCTTGAGCCCACCTACCCTCTAGAGCCCTCTCCCATGGCATTTCTCCAAGCAATTCCTTGAAGAGATCAAAGTTAGCCCTCCTGAAGTCTAAGGTTTCAACCCTACTTGTCGTTTTGTGCATACTGCACAAACATGTAATTAATTCTAGTACCTGAACAGGTTAAGAATGCCGTTTTCCATTTAGCACAATTCTTCAAGGGCACTGAACTATCATATTCCTTTTGACACTATAAATTGTGAGAGCTTTGAGAAACAATCTCTCTTGCATATTGAGAACAGTGCACGTTATAACTGACAGTGCTCCAAGTGTAAAGCGGTAGGCCTAGACTTCCTTGATCTCAAGAAGTACATCTTCTCAAGGGTGTAGCAAAACTCCATTCCTAATAGCTTTGCTATATTCATTTCTGGAAGTAAAAAGCCTACCTGTGACAAAGAGTCCAGTCCTTCTACAATACCAGTAGATACACTGGCTTGAAAGCCTTGAGACTGTGAACGGATTCTCACTCTTGATTTGAATGCTTCGAGCTCAGTTTTAAAAGCTTCCAAATAGCCCTCTTCCCCTGCCTGCAAAGAGAAGAGTGAAATATTTTTCATCATGGCCAGATTTACTTCTAGTTGTAAGCATACATACTGCTAAAAGGAAGTCCTGCAGTAATGCATATTATACTCATTGAAGGATAATGGTTTGGACAAGTCAATAACAATGTTAGCACCAGTCAGCTTAAAAAAGAAGATTCAGGTATGCTGGTTTTTGTTTGTTTGCTTTGTTTTAAAGAGAGACTTTAGCATTTGATGAGCATAAGAACCGAGTAATTCATTCATCTGAGAACATGCAAGAACAAAACAAATATAATTTTAACCCTTCCTTTATTCCATCTCAGAAGCCGATACCCTTAAGAGAAAAGGTACTCATGGCAGCACTCAATTCAAAAGCAAAGCATGAATCAAAGTGGGTGTCAATTTAAGTCCTTAAGGCAGCATTAAGATCAGCATGACTTGATTCTTCAGTCTTGTATAACTTAATATAGAACCTGCATCAAACCGCAGCTTCAGTCTTCTCGCATCTCTCTCTCCTCCCTCTCTCAGCATTCCAGAGCTAACTATGACTGACCGAAGAGAAACAGACTCCAAATTGGGCCCTGCCATGAACTGCATAGAGAGGCATTATTATAAGCAAAATAGGACACTCAGTCCTTAGACACATTCATGTTTGCCGCTGTAATTTAGGTGGCACTTCACTATTCCACACTCCAGTAGTTCCCATGCTATGTTCTGCTTTCCCTCTGGCCTAACAAGAATCCATGGAGCTTCCATTCTCAAGATCAGAATTACACAAAACATTCATCCTAGAATGAACTGCCAACAAAACAACACTTCCCCATAAGCTTGATTCAGTCAGTAACATATTTAACCTCTAACTGTCAGGAAGAAAGCTCCTTCAGAACACTGATCCCTTGCAAGGGTATCAAGAGTTTCTCTCAGTGTTATACAAGTTCTGACTTACTTTGGCTTTTTGGAAAAATAGACGAAAACAGCCTCTTGGATCCACATTACAACTTCTGGCCGTTTCTATAATAAACTGCATCACAACTGCTTGGTGTGCTATTTGTTCCATCAGAGCTCTTTTCTGAAAAGAGAAATTACATAATTACTGAAAATATCTTTAAAAGTATAACTCTAAAATTCAGCAACATCTTTACATTTGATTCCTAAAGAGAAAAGAACTGATGCTGACAGAAGCAAAGGGGACTGTTAATTAGCTGAGACTAGATCTAATGTAGTAATGTGTTTTGGAGGCTTCCTTCAGTAAGATAACACGGACATGGGAAGACAGGGAGAACGGTAATTAAATGGCTCATCAATTTGGACAGCTTTTCTGTAGTGTAAGTGGGAAACTGCATACTTTTAAGCAGTTTAAAGGTCTTCCTAGTACCTGTTCAGCTTCTAGATGAAAACACCATAAGATGAGATATTTAGCTGTTTCTTCACATACAAGATACGGGTGGTCAGACAAAAATCTTTGACTGTCATCCCATCTGCCCAGCATACCTGATTAAAAAAAACCCAACATCATGAATTAACACATTCAATACGGAGAAGTGATTTAATGCAGTGAAGACATTATTCAAATTTACATACTACTACATTCTCCTTCACACTTCATTGTTACCTCAGAAGAACAGCATGCAAATAAAACTGAACTCGATTTTTTTGTTGCCTTTAAAACACCTCCAATGCTGAAAGAGCATTACCAATAAGGTATGCTCGGACTGTAAAGATACTAAAATATAGTTAGCTGCTACTGTTAAGATCTTATTTTTATTGTATCTCTGGCAGTGTTAAAAACAGGTTTTTGGTTTTCAGGTAAATGGTTTTCACACACTGTAACAAAGCAGTATCTATACCTATTTGTTAAGAATTTGATAGTATAACTAAGTTGATGTATGGAGATTTACATTCAGTGATTTTGACAGAAAAGTTCTTTAAGTGCTTGCAAGTAAGACGAATAGAAATGAAAGCATAATCATAGTCTAATATGAATATGCTTCTGACATGGTTTGCTAGGTTTTAGGAAATACAAAGCTATTTTTATAACCAAGTTCAAGCATTAAGGTCAAAACAGGAGAGCCAACTCAGTGATTGAAAGTTAACTAGAAGACTGAATTGTAGTAAGTAGCATGAAACTACCTTCATGGAAAGAGCTGTAGGTTGAAAGTCAGAACTCAAAATTCAAGCAGTGTAATCAACTCCCCCCCCCCCCCCTTTAAAAACATATTAGTTAATTGTCCTAATATACATATTAGTGATATTTTACTGCTTGCCAGTACTAGATACGAAGTTTTACCCTTCTATCACTAATATAAACGTATCTTTAAAAATAAAATATCGGTTCCATCTCTACATAGTCTTAACAGCTGTTTTGCAGATATTTACCTTTTATCATTCACCCCAGCAAAACCCCAGCTATTTATAGGAGGCAGGTACAGACAGTCCCAGGCACGTTTACATGCAGGAATTGCATCTCCATTAACGCCCCTATCATTTCCCATGGAACAGCAGAAAAAGTCGCTAGAATTTTAATTTTCATGAATTGAAAAACTTTTTCAGTTCTGCGTTGACTCAGGAAGTTCTCATCATAGGAACCAACAGGCTTCTGCGATTTACAGTTTCCTTTACTTTGATACGGTTATTTGTTACGATGTCACATCTCCTGTCCTGAGAAACAAGAATCTAGATACTCTCATTGCCAGATGTTTAATTTGTTAGCATCCATTTTGTGCAATAATAATAATGAAAAAAAAAAAGAAACAGACCTACACAAATTCTACAGGAGGTTAAACTGCAAAATGTTGGAAGCAACATACTTACCAAAGTATCTAATCTTTTGTTCATGCTTCTGTATAAATGATTTAGATATATCTTCATCTTCTACTTCTTTTCTTTTATATTGACTAATAAAACTCTAAAGATGAGAAAAAACTGTCATAGAATCTCCACATATACCTTATTTGAACTATAGGATTATTTTAATTCTTTAGTATTTAAAGGGCAATGTTCTAGTTTTAAGCATAGCCCAGCAAACACATATGTATGCACTTAATGTACCCAAGAAGGTTATTTACCAAAACACAGCTCGTCCAATTACTAATAGGGTGAAAAATGCCTTATTCTGAGCAATAATCTGTCTCAAAGTTCTACGCACTAGAAGGAACTTGCTGATCTATAAACAACGAGAAACATCTACATCATCTAGCCCTGATGAAGCTAACTCAGTGGAATTATGAAAAACGATGCATTAATAGTTCATATTCAAGTTAAGTGCCGAAAACAAAACTAGCATTTACCATGAAGACAGTTTGTGCTAAAATAATCTGTATTAAGAAATTCACGCTATTAGAGGCAAACTGTGCATGTTTCAAATGTGAGAATTTGGCATAACAAAGAAGCAAACTTCATGTGAAGAACTACTTCTCATCCTTGGTTTTGGCAACAGTTGCTATAAGGGACAAATATGAGTTCTGATTCCCAATTAGTGTCATACACATTCGTTATATTAATGCAACATGTCCCCTTTAATAGGGCAAAATAAGAAAGAAAAACATTTACCACATTACAATAAGCACTATACTAGATATAGAAAACACTCAAGATGAGAAATAAATGGAATAAAAAAGGCCTATAATTGTTTTCATACACATTTATACATGTCATACCTTATTAAATACCTCCTTACTGAAAGAATCTGTATTCCATAGATTCTGTCTTTCCCTCTGTATTAGCGCTGCTTCTTTTTTTCTCCACTCTTCCTCTCTCTGTCTCAGTTCTGAAGCTTCAGTCTGTGCTTTGGCATATTCCTGATCCGTGGATTCCGAATTATGCAGTGCTAAACTACCAAGTTTCTGCTGGGCTTCTGCTAGATTCCATTTGGATTCTACAGAGCTCTTCACAAACTCTTTTTGTTTTTGACAGATTAATTCAATCCCTTGGCCGTAGGTCTGTGTGAAAAACAAAACATGCTGTTTACGGAAGGAAAACTGATAGAATTTATGAAGCATATAGAAACAGAAGGCTTTGACTCCCAAATAGAACAGAGATGGAAGGCATCTTAAAAGCAATATTATATTCACAACAGTGACTAAACATGATACTGTGCAGCTAGATGATTTTTAAAGGAAACTTCTACTTCAAGCTTTCTAAACTTAATTGAAAGATATTTACAGAATCATGGATCAAGTATTGCCACCAATAATACAATCTCCAGACTGCATATCATAATTCTTTTGTAGATGAAAGGATTTTCCTCGCTCCCCTCTGGCTATCTTTATTCTGTAAAATTAACAATAGCCAAAATAGCAGAATACTTGTAAGACATACTTCTGAGAAGAAAGCATCTGCTTTATGATGTTGAATCATAACAACAGAGTAACTATTACTACCTACCTTCCAGCATGGATTAATATTACTGTGGTGGGTTGACCTTGGCTGGTTGCCAGGTGCCCACCAAGCCAAAAAAAAAATCAGCAGGACAGGGGAAAAAAATAAGATGAAAAAGATAAAGACAGGAAGATCGCTCACCAATTAGCGTCATGGGCAAAACAGACTCGACCTGAAGAAGATTAATTTAATTTATCGCCAATTAAAAATAGAGTAGGATGGTGAGAAACAAAGACAAAATTGAAAACATGTTCCCCTTCCCAAGCTCAACTTCACTCCATTGTTCCTGACTCTTCTGTCTCCTCCTCCCTGTCGTGAGCGGCGCTGGGGGGATGGGGAATGGGGGTTGCGGTCAGTTTGTAACAGTTCCTCTCTGGTGCTCCTTCCTCCTCACACTTTTCCCCTGCTCCAGTGTGGGGTTCTTCCCATGGGCTGCATTTCTTCAAGAACTGCTCCAGTGTGGTTCTGTTCCATGGGGTGCAGTCCTTCAGGAAAAGACCCCTCAAACATGGGTCCACCATGAGCTGCAGCTCCTGCCAGGACCCTGCTCCAGCATGGGCTCGCCACTGGCTGTCGGGGCACATCCACCTGCTCCAGTGCGGCGTCCTCCATGGGCTGCAGGGTGGATATCTGCTCCAGCATGGTCCTCTCCATGAGCTGCAGGGAACACCTGCTCTGACATGTGGTCCTCTCTATGGGTTGCTGGGGGACAACCTGCTTCACCATGGTCTTCTCCATGGGCTGCAGGGTAATCTCTGCTCCGGTGCCTGGAGCACCTCCTCCTCCTCTTTCTTCTCTGACCTTGATGTCTTCAGGGTTGTTTCCCTCACATTTTTTCCTCACTCCTCTCTCTCACAACTGCTACACAGTATTTTTTTGCCCTTTCTTAAATATGTTTTCACAGAGGTGCTGATTGGCTCAGCTTTGGCCTGCAGTTGGGACCCTTTTGGAGCTGGCTGGAACCGGCTCTGTCCGACACGAGGGCAGCCCCTGGTCTCTTCTCACAAAAGGCCACTCCTGCAGCCTCCCCGCTACCAAAACCTTGCCATGTAAACCCAATGCATAGCCTGGACTATCAGTGAAAGTGGAATTTAAGCTATGAATTAGTTGAGGCACAACATAAGCATCCCTTTCCTCCTACCAAATACATTGAGAGGGTCACTAACAGCTAGGAGATAGAAGTGATTTCTTAAACCACAGTACTTATATTGCCCACAGATGTACACTAGAAACTCAGCAATTTAAGATTTTTTTTCTTTCTCTAAACCATCTACAGGCTACAAAGAGGATGCAGGCTCTCTCTTCACAAGGAACCACATGGACAAGACAAGGGGCAATGGGTACAAGTTACACTGGGAGAGGTTTCATCTCGATATAAGAAATACATTTTTTACAGTGAGAAAAATCAATCACTGGTACAACCTCCGCAGGGGTGCGGTAGAGTCCCCATCACTGGAGGTTTTCAAGATGCGATTGGACAGAGTGCTAGATAATCTCACCTAGACTCCCTTTCCCGTGATAGGTTGGACCAGGTGATCTTTCGAGGTCCCTCCCAACCTGGGCTGTTCTATAATTCTATGATCTGTTCTGCCCTCCCACCAGAAGTGAGAAATAAAATGTGTGTATTAGCTTCTCAGCCTTCCAGTGCAATATTCTGAAGTTAGTGATGGTGACCATCTTTGGTAGAGGGATAGGAAGGACACTGTAAGTTGTGAGAGCTTATCTGGAGGAAACTTCAATGCAGATTAATCAAAGCTCTCATGCCAACTTTGTTTCAGAATCACAGCAACACTCTTTTTAAAGAACAACTGACTACTTGCAATTTGGAAAAAAAATACAACTTCTTATAAACAATGCAGTCTTCCTAATGACCTACTTATGCTATTTATAGCTATAAAGAAAGAGGGACAGCTATAGGCATTGTTCAAATGAGTGCTGGATGGATACTCCCAAGACTGGGAAAAAAGGAAGCTTCTGACTCCTGGCAATGTGAGAAAGGCTCTTTCTCTGCCCACAGATTTGAATTTACAGAATACATACAGTACCCTAGTAAGAAGTGAGAAGGAACAAACTGTGATAAGGAAGGCTCGAGAGACAGCTGAGCCTGAACAAAATGACAGCACCAAGAGAAAACAGCAGGTGATAGTGGTTGGAGATTCCCTTCTGTAGGGGATAGAGGGACCTATCTGCTGATCAGACATACTGTCTCAGATTTGTTACTTGATGGGGGATCAAATACAGGATGCTGCAGAGAAACTGCTGAGGCTTGTCCAGCCCTTGGATTATTACCTCTTGCTGCTCATCCACGTGGGCAGCAGTGATACTGCAAGGGATGACCTTGAATGTATCAAGAGTGTCTACAGAGCTCTGGGGACAAGGGCAAAAGGCATGGGGCCCAAGTGGTGTTCTCCCTGATCCTTCCAGTGAGGGGGGAAAGCACAGCTAGAAGTAGGTGCATCCAGCAGGTCAACACCTGTCTCCAGAGGTCCCTTCCAACCTACAGTATTCTTTGATGTATCATGGGGGAATTATGAGAGATCCCGTTCTGGCTTTGGGAAAATGAAGTATACAAACACATAAAAAGAATTTAGGTCGTATTATTTTCAGAAAAAATCCTCCCCCCCCCCAATAAAAAAATGGGTACAGTCAGTATAAAACTTTTCCTACTCCCACGTATTGGACATCTACAGAGCCACATTTTAGTAAAAACTGTAAAGGGATCTGGCTCATAAGTGAGTTTGTCAAGATGAAAAAGACTGGGGCTCTTGGCCCTTGCCTGCATCGCGCTTGGAGATGTGCTTGTAGCAAATGTAGATATATCTAGCTCCAGTCTAACTTGCTTGGCTATCAATAGCAGTGAAGCCATTGAATGGGAGCTACTTGTGGAAGTATATCCTCTGGTCTCAGGATTCCCTGCACATCTACTAGCACATTAAAACACTCAAGTCGATTTGAGACCAGTTCAACATTTTGTCACGTGCTGTATTCATACATTTTACTATTGTACAAATATACCCCAAAACTTGTAGCTGCGACGAATGTACAGGGTTTCACGCAGTTGTAGCCAAGACAAACATAATAAAGGGATAGAGAACCGTTTTCCTCTATATCATAAATTTGGATCTAATCTTAGAGTAGCAGCAGCAGAAAGTAATTCCTATCTATCAGCTGTTTGGAGAGGACTATCTGGGGAGCAACCCTTGTCTGGGCCAATATTAATTTAAAAACTCCACTCAGGCCATGGCTAGTTTCCTAACCAACAACTTTAGCCAAAAAGACCAAGAAATTACTAGATTGGAAGAGGGATGGGGATGTAACTGGGCTCGCTAGAGAGGCGCCCGGGTGTAGTAGCCCAGCACTTGTGGGGCAGAGTGCTAGTATTTTTGAGAATCGGAAGGCCCACCACCCCACTAGGGCAAAAACTACACACTCATTGGCCTCTCTGAAATGCCTATACACTAATGCACGCGGCATGGGGAACAAACAAGAGGAGTTATGTGGGAGAATTTTTAGAGATCAA